GTAAATCAGCATTCAAAAACCATGCATGGAGGTAAGATAACAAAAGACTTCGTTGTAAAGAGTGCCATAGCCCGACTGTTTATAGATGAGAAGTATGTAATGTAGCTTTACATCAGATGAATCAAGCTTTCATGCTTGAATCTTTCAAATGAAATAATCTGTATTTGTAAAAGAAATATAATCTATCTTTTAATATTAAATTTATTACAAGTAAAGTGATTTGTAGATTTATAAAACGCTATACAGCTAAAAATAATCCAGTGCTCCGCTCAAAGGAAACATCGCACGAGTATAATCTTACTCACTAAACATCTGTATTCTTATTCCGCTGACATTGCACGAATGCAATGTTCGCTTTTTCCACAAGTAAAAGAGCATTTTTTTTTTATTTTCAATAAATTATTTATAATGCTTAATTTAATATTTGTTATTATTTCACGAGAAAAGAAACATTCCTTGTAGTTTTGGCGGTTAATGGGTTAACTGGAATCAGAAAAGATGAAAAATAAGGAACCGCCTTCGCCGGAAATCAAACCACGGACCTCTGGAATACCGGCCCAGCGTGCTACCGTTACACCACGAAGACACGCTAGGGAAGTGGGAGAAATACTTTATAAAGCAAGCAAAGGATTTCACGAACTACACCAGGAAGACAAAAATTGCTTGCAGTCTCACTTTGAAATCATTAAAATTCAGTTAACAGTGCAGAAATAAGTGCGGCGATTGTCATTTTTTAATGTCAATTTTTTTGTCAGTTGAATGAAAGAAAATGAATAAAATTTAAACGGATAGCTAATTTGTAAGATTCTAGCTAAATGAAAGTTACTTTTGTTGGCTAGATGTTTACTTGAACTGTGAAGCAACTATTCGCTAAGTTCAAATGTATCAATAATAACACATGGAAAGGGTTAAAAGACCCTTTTAGTCAACTCAAGAAAAGTATTTACAGTTGGCACTCCTGATGCTTACAAATCTACGCCCCTACTTTTGTCGGCAACTCAGAACAGAAATGTAAAATTGGAACTAAGCTTAAGTCAAATAATCAGCCTAAGCTGCACAGAGATATTTAAAGCGTAGTTAGCTCTTGGCCTTACCGACGTAGACTAATAGGCATTTAATATGCACAGCTCTAAAATAGCAAGCTTAGAGAAACAACGTGGCCGATGATAACGTGCTCTATCTGAAGTCTCTAACTCCAGCTATCGCTGTATGCTGCGATTAGTTTGCAATGCGCAACTGCTTTCCAACTATCATAAAATGTGGTGCTTCTGTGAGCGCTTCTAGTAGATCGAACGCTTAACGATGAGTCCATGAAGACAGCTTGCCGGTGAGGTAAAGGGGCCTGACCAATCAATCGGAAGTAACTCAGACCACCAGCTTAAATAATACCTTTCTACCCTACTTTGCATAACACGTAAAACTTAAATCTCATTCTGGCAAGAAAGCATGGGTTGAAATGCTTCAAAATAAAATTAACTGTTCAATAAATTAAATAAATCCTCACAAATTAGTTCATTTAAAACACCGAATGCGTATTCATTTGGTTCTTCAAAGATTATATATTTATAACTTATACTTTCGTTAGCATTACTTAATGATCTTTTAGCTTAGTCATCGTTTTAAAGTTCCTAAAGACACAACGTGTGCCACTAATCTTTCAGCATGATGAAACAATTTATAAGTGCTTTCAACTTGTCATTAGTTATAAGGTTAGTTCTTTCAGTTAGTTTAGTACTTTTTCTATATAAAATTTCAACAAAAAACTAATTTAATTAAGTGGTTGTTCATTATTAAAGTTTCAATAGTGCAGCATGCAATTCAATACTGGAATTTATCGTGACCAGAAACACTAGATAGTTTGCCAAGAGAATGTTGAATGCAAAGGACGTTGCTTGAATGGCCCAAAAAGCCTTAAGTTCTAATCACATTATGTTTCAGCTACGCGGGAATGGACGTCAAAAAGGACAATTCTCAGAACTCGCACATTTTCAGGAAACTCACGTAGCTAGGCAACCATTTTCACTTGCTACAAAGACTTGATCGCCAAACAGTAACCGATTGTCGCTCAGATTGGGATCACGTGATCCTTAAGAAGCAGAACTTTCGTCTGATTCGTTGAATCTACCCGGGATAGAGCTTTAGCAGAGACATTTTCGGTGAGGTTTGAAAAAATCCCGCGTAGCCGCAACATAGTTTCCGTAGCTAGGGGGGCTGCGCTTCCAGTGGGGCTCTTTTTTCTAGGAATCCTCCCGTTTAAACCAGTGCTACCAGAATTTCGTTTCTCAGAAAAGTCCCGTATAGCAGGTACTATCGCTAGAAGTGATAACAGCATTAGACGTTTATTTGCCGAGTCATAAAAATGTCCCACTAGGATACTGGTTTCCAGTAGTTCCTTCAGACATCCTACAGTCATCTTATACAGCAAGGTACTAAGAAATTCTCCCCTTCCCTTGAGAATTGTATGTTCGCAGCATAATTTTAATAGCAATTCAAAATACTACAAATGAAAATCAGCACTAGAAAAATAACTCACTCCGTAGAATAGTAACAGGACTGTATTTGAGGAAAAACTATTGTAATGTAAGCATATCACTATCCATTTTGTATGTACTTGTTGAAAATAATATTGTAAAGTAGTTAAAAATGACATTCAATTTACAGTCAATGTGTAAATGAATTACAAGTTACTTTGATTATTTCAGTAAAAGCATTGTAAATATGAATTCAGATAATGTTTAAATGTGCACGTAACTGCCATGATTTTATGTAACTATCACATGTAACTTGTACAAGACAACTTTGTATCAACATATCTAGCTTATACACAGCTTGTATGCCCATGTAATATTATATTTTTAACGGAGAAATATTCCCTTCTCAGATGATATTAACACTGAAGACTTTTACAACAAAGTCAGGTCAGTGGTTATCTCAGGCGGCGCTCAGTCATCTTATACATGCTTACTAGAGTGGGAACTTCAACTACGTAGATTTGTATTCTGTAAACAAGTGGTCTGATTTTGAAAGCAATTTTAAGAGTATTTCTTCATTCGGGATTCTAAATTTATGATACTGATTCTAAGTAATTACTAATGAAAAACATTTTGACGTTTCTTACCTTTATCGTTAATTAGAGGCGGCCATTCTTCGCTTGTCTGTAGTTGTTGTAATTTCTTAAACTTTCGGACAGGTCCTCTTAAACGGGCAATAAGTGGTACAATGTGTTTTGCTACCAAGTGCTGGACGAAATATTTCTAAAAATATTTTATTATTAGTCAGTATGGACAAAATTTTGTTGTAAACTGTGCAAAAGAAGACTGATAAATGTTATTTCTAGTGACTCTCGCAGAAATACGAATTTCAAATCAATTATTCAAAATGGCTCAAGCTCTTTACATTAAAAGGGAAAGTATGCTAGAAATGTTTTAGCTAATTTAAAAAGTTTTTTGAGCCCTAAATCCAGAGATCATATATTTGCAAATATACAGTAATTTTATATGATTCAATTAATTTGAAGTCAGAGCCATCTACTACAGCCAGAACATTTGCTGTGGCCAAATAAAATAATTTAATCAGGGCTAGGTCATTCCTTTTGTGTGACTTCTCGCCAACGCGATTCTCTTAGGGGAAGTTAACAGTTAACAGGAAGTAGTCTGACGTCACTATGGTGCATCTTCTCTGATTTCGCCTGTTTAAAAGTAGCAATGTGGGCAGATCAAATTAATTTTAATCACATATATTGTTTTCTAGTACAGCAGTGTCAAAGTCAAACTGATAACTCACACGTCTCATGCGGTCCTGAAGCATAAAAGTGATTTTATGCTGCCTGCGATACATTTCCCGTAAATTAATCTACATTATTATGACAAGAATTTGAAGAAAACAATTTAAGATTTTAATGGTTTGGAGTCCAGTTTTACGTTATATTCAATACTAAAAACAAATGTAACTCTTCAGAAAATCTACAAATACTAGTTAATATCTTAAGTTACGAATTTTTGCAATAAGAATACGCTCGCTTTGTTTTTGAGTACATTTACATGAGGACAGTTTTTTTTCGTAGTAAAAAACTGAACATTAATAAGCCTACAAAAAGAACCAGACTGCCGATGAGTATCTACAATTTGTCATTATACATTTTAGTAATTTCCCTCCAAGATTGCAAACATTATGAAAATCGAAACGTCATCAGGTGCTGTAGCTGAAAAATGTAGCAAAAAACAAAGATATTTACAATAATTTACATACAAATATTACTTTTTTTGTGTGTCATAGAAAAATCTAATAAATAAAAGAAAGAGAATAGGTTGGCATTATTTATTCTCAAGTCTTGTCTCTGTTGGGAAGCTTTCGTTTATTTCTTTTAGTTTAAATTAAAAGTAAGTTATTTTGTGGTTCAATATATTGCAATTAGCTGAGTAAATGCTAGCCTGAAAATTTTTATATTTAACCTTGAGATTTTAATATTTAGCTCTCTGTTTGAATTCCAAACTGTGATAACAGCAATTTCTTGCAGACACCAATTTTTAGATTTCAGGAAATTGTGCATTGGCCTGTGTGGAATGTAAGTTTGAGACCACTGATATGATTATATGATTCAATTAATTTGAAGTCAGAGCCATCTACTACAGCCAGAACTTGGATTTTGAAGAAAATTCATTTTGAGGCTGATTACGAAAATGATGATAGGAATAATAAATCAGATACGTATGATTTTAAAATACAACTCACAAATGATGTTAATATTGCTGAATGCCTTAACTGTAAAAAGAAACAAGAATGCATTGCTAATTTGTAAAAACCAAAGCTTGATTTTAGGTAATTTATTAGCTGAGCATTTTAGGTAATTTATAATTCTATATAACGTCAAAGTAATTTCGCATAAAGAAAAATTTCCTTCTTTGTCCCTCTTTTGAAAGATTAAATAATTTTCTTTAGAAAATGTGAGCGAAGTTGTTTTATAGTTAAGTCAACGATCTTGTATTTATTTAAATGTAATGCATGTATATAAATGTGAGTATAAATGTGACAATTATTTAAAAATATCTGCTATTATATCAAATCGGAAGAAAATCGCACCAATGTAAAATTTATAATTAGGTCAAAAAAGAAATCTTAGATTACATTGAATTTTGAGTAAAATTATCGACTTTAAGGGCAGTCAAACATAAGTTCCTCCTCTTTACTGCAGGGAAAATATAACATATATATTCAAAACTACGCCAAACTAAGGTTTGTTTTTCTAATAAATTTTAGAAATCTTAGAGTAATAGAATTCTACCACTTAGTAGGCAGATGAAGAAGAGACAATGAATGCAATAGTTTTTTTCTTCATGATTTAATAATAAATACGCCGGTAACAAAACCTGAAACTTTTCAGAAAACGTAGCGTATTTATGTATTATTTTAAAATTAATAAATACGTAATTATTAAGTTTTTAAACATTATAAATGCATACAGTAATAAAATCTTTTTTTTACATTAAAGCTACTTTTTCACGCACAGTTTCTTAAGGCTGTTTCTTCAAATTTAAAACAATTATTTCTTTGCTGAGAATAGCGTCTTTGCAGTTTGTGTCAACATGACTATGTCATCACTTCTTGTTTCAGGGAGGAAAACTCTATAAACTAGCTCTTATTTTCGAAGTCCTGTTTAGAATATATTGTAGAGACATTAGGATTTTTTGGAAGCATGAAAAATGAGCAACGCCTTCGCCGGGGATCGAATGCAGAGTAATATCTTTAAACACATAATTTCTTGATTTTAATCTGTTACAGAATTTCTTCGGTGCCGAATCTTCATTAATGTATGCAATAATATATGTCTGGCTTCTGAAATAGGGCAGTAATACAGATTATTAAACAGACGTGTATATATGTAAAGATTCGTATATATTTTAGTATAACACGCCGAATGCCTCATTTGCTAGAATTTTATCTGTTTGAAGTTCGACTACGTTATTTTATGAAATCCTATTCTACCATGTTAGATGCTTCTGCTGAAGATAATTCTGCACTGGGTTATTTGAAATTAGACTTACCTCCCATATGAATGATATTACTATATTTCCCAAACAAATAGCATACAATATCAGAGGAAAATTCCCGTCAGGTGCAGCTTTGAACTGAAATAAAAAAAAGGTCAATGAAAAGACGTACGTTATTCAACAAATATAATAGCTGGTTGCAAAGTAGTTATGCAGTAAACTTTTAAATTCCGATCAAAGCAAATACATGCATCAATTCATCTGCTAATAATAAACACGCAGTAACTGCTGATAACACTATTGACAAAAATAAGTTAATTTATTTTAAATCTCAGTTGCAAATTAGATATCATGTTTCCGTCAAAAATCTTAGTCCTGCTGTTGAACAATGGTCCTAAGTTACTAACTAGACGCATGTGCACTAAAATGTTTGAATTTATCATTTCTGCTGTTTACAAGTGTAAAAGTAAAATTCATTTGATGTCATTAGTTGTTGAGATTATAAGAAGAGATTTCTGGATATTATTGGATGAAGTGAAACTAAACGTGCAAAGGTCAGGCAGATTCATCGAATCTCAGGAAGGAGGCCCTGCCTTGCAATGCCCCATTTCTTTGAACTTTAAATTCAATTTTCAAATAAAATGTTTCCCAGGTTTTTAACAGTAGGCTTTCCGGACGTCTCGGACTTTCCGCCATCCTGGACTCAATCTCTTGTACGAGCTGAGAGCAAAGTTGGTAAAATCAACACTCTATTAAGAGATCTTGTCCTGAAAGCATATTCATAATTTTCCCTGAAACCTTGTAATAATTTTTTCTGCAAGACTAGATTAGAAGACACTAAGGCTGATTTCAATCCCAAATATTAGCCATTCTGGGTTTGTTGACAATAGAGAAAACCATGTGTAGATACTACTAAGGGTTTGTAAAGCCAAAAGAATAACTAAATGCAAATAGCATAAATGCAAATAGCTTAAATTGCTTTAAGCTATTTGCATTTATGTGAATTTCAGATTTGAAACGTACTGCATGTTTAGAGAGAACAATTTATATACAGGGTGATCTTTTTTAAAGGGACAGTGTTTGGAGCGCCCTGTGTAGCGCGATCTAATAGCCGAAATGGCACCAAACTTGGTATTTAGACTAATCAAGACATGAGACATCAAGACATACAATCGTACAGTTAAATTATTAATGTTTATTTACTACATTATGTTTATTTATTACATTGAGGAATTAGACCACATTCAATATGAGCACCGTTCTCAGAAATAACACCGTGCATTCGGTGCACAACGTTCTCCACAGCCGTATGTAACATATCACGAGGATTATTCAGTACTGTCTTTTTTATGTTGTCCTTTAGAATAAACAAATTTGATACTCCACCAACATAAACTTGAGATTTCAGATAACCCCAGAGCCAAAAATCGCATGGCGTGAGGTCAGGGTACCGAGGCGGCCATGCAACTGGAAAACTACGACTTATGACTCTATCATCAGTGAAGTTTTGACGCAACAGCTGCTTTACCTTATTACTTATGTGTGGTGGAGCACCATCTTGCATAGAGATTGTCTGTTGGAGACGGTTTCTTTGCTGAAGTTGTGGAATAACAAACGTTTGCAGCATTTCGTGGTACCTTTTTCATTTATGATGCACGTTTGGGGTCCTGACGGAATGATGGTCTAAAAAAAGAATGGCCCAATTACGAATTCGGCTTTGAAACCACACCAAACAGTGACTTTTGGGGAATTTAATGGGATTTCGTGTGTGGCTGCTCAGAAGCCCAAATTCGGCTATTTTGTGTGTTTACGGACCCATTGAGATAAAAAATGGCAATCATCTTCCTCACAGAATGGGCCATGGGAAAGCATCATCAATTTCTACCCTGGCAAGAAACGGTAAAGCGAATGTCACTCGCTTATCATAATTACTTGGTTTCAATTCGTGCAAGTGGCTTATTTTGTAGGGGTAAAATCCAATAACGCGCCTCAAAACTCTCCATACCGTAGAATAATTCATGTCCAGTTGTCGAACTACACCCCAGGCGCTGCTAGTACCAGCAATGGTCCCCTGCGATCCTTCGACAGTTGCAGTTGCCACATCAGTTATCACATCTTCTGATATTGGTTTACGTCCTCTCCCAGCGCGAATGGTCAGTGACCTTTCCTCGAACTTTTTAATCATTTTCTTAAGGCCATTCGGCGATAAAGGCCCCTTTCGTATTTTTTTTTTCTGGTTGGAAGCTCCCGAAGAGCTGCGGATGCATTACATCGATTCATGTAATACAGCTTCACCAGTAACGCACGTTCCGGTAACTTGAGAGGCATGTCCACAAGAGCTCGTTTACTTCAGCTGAGTTTATTTGTCGGAGCTGTCTACTACTTGCTTTTATAGTTCCTATTACTGGCGCTGTCATCGCACAACATTTGCATTTTTCTTTGATACCAGTGTTTTATGCTAATTCTCGTTATTGTAAGCTACAGCAGCGCCACAAAATGCCCTAGCGGCGATTTTTTGAACTTTCCCCCCCCCCCCCCCACGGAATCCTATTTCCCATGTTTTGATTAGTCTAAATACCAAGTTTGGTGCCATTTCGACTATTAGATCGCGCTACAGGGCGCTCTAAACACTGTCACTTTAAAAAAGATCACCCTGTATTTTTTTACAATAAGAAAACGGCTTGCTGTATGACTGCGCTTATTGCATAATGCGCTGTGGGAAGAGTTCGGTCCATTCTATAATTTGTTTAATTTTTTAGCATTTTAGTTAATTATACATTTTTTGGAAGATAACAATGTGTATATACATGGCAGTGAGAAATTCATGCTATACACACCATACGTACATTTCATCAATAATATTATTTTTCAAATTTGAAGACAGTTAAATACAAAATTTTTATCCTTGTTTTATTTTTCCCATACTTGCAGATGGAAAATAAAAGAAATGCCTTTCACACACATTAGTGCTAGAATTTGTATAAATTTAGTAATAAATCAGGTACATACTAAATTTAATGAGAACAATGGCATACAATGCGTGCTTTTAAATAAGGCACCTAATTAATTAAGTAAATAAAATTTAATGTATGCATCATCATAAGAAGTCAGAGTTTACATATAAAGCAAGTAATGATTATGCTGATATAAATTATTCGCACGTCTGAAAACCCGAGTCATTTATTTACAGTTTTATTCAATCCTATTCTACTTTTAGCATAGCTAAAAGTTAAGTTTATATTTTTTTTCGAAGTCTTTTTGTAATAGGTTATCTCTATTTGTATGTATTATTGACCTTATCCGTATGAAATGGAAAACATTTACTTCCAAGGGAATATCTCCCCTCATGCATTCAACTTTTCTTTGATAAAACCTAAAATTGTAGAGACATTAAGAGTTTTCGGAAGCCGTAGAGATGAAGAATGAGCAATGCCCTCGCCGGGACTCTAACCACGGACCTCTCGAATACGCGCCGAGTGTGCTGACCACTTACACCACGAAGGCATGCTAAGACGGTCTTATATACTTACCCTTTTAAAGGGCTACTGGGGATTAAGGAACCCAATCGCCAAATCCTGGTGGTGGAAAATCATCATCCACCAACGTTTTTAGTTCGGGCCCTACTATAAAGACATTAGGATATTTGGAAGCAAAAGACATGAAAAATGAGTAATACCCTCGCCGGGACTCGAACCTCGGACCTCTCGAATACGCGCTGAGCGTGCTGATCATTTCACCTCGAAGGCATGCTAAGAAGGGGGAGAAATACTTCATAAACTAATACGATGGAATTATTTTACCAATATTTCTGCGTATCCATAACTTTTCTTGAAACTTTCGGTAAATTTTAAAACAAATACTCTCCTGTTTCCTGAATTTATTATTCATCTTGGCATTCCTTAATTTTCTATATTAACTTATACTTATTAGATTCTTTATAATATTCTTTTATAATTGGCAATTCAATATCCGCTAAAGACTGATATTACTAGGCTATAAGCATGACTACTTTTGCTGTTTCATCAGCGGTCTTATCATTCTGATGTAATTAGATGCTTGATCTGGTAATATCTGATGTAATTAGATGCTATTTTGATCTGGTAATATCTGATGTAATTAGATGCTTGATCTGGTAATGCTATTTTAGTCTAACCTTAACTGACTTGAAGCGAATTATCACTATGTCTGAAAACAACAACAAAGTATTGAGAAGGTTAAAATATCTATTTTATTCAAACACAATTTAGCATATAAGGACTTTCTGTGCAGCTACAAATAAGCGCAACTCGTAATAATGCAACTAAATCGAACAGCCCAATTTAAATCAAACGTTGAACAGTTGTTAAGGTCTACATAATTAAATAATATACTAGAAGCTGGCTCACTACTCTAACAGAACGTCAGAATTAAAGTGTTGGTAGCGAGAAACCCTGCAAAACCGAATAATTACAACTGTTAGAGCTTTCAAGAAATGAAACAGGTAGCGCACACACTATGCCAGAATTACTCTATAAAAATCTCAGTTTAAATACTCTCTACTAATTTCCATTCTGGTGAGGAGTAAGGAAAAGAGAAAGCTATTGTTACGAATTTTGTATATAGCTAGATGATTTTAGTGCAATTGTGTGTGAAACTGCTGTCTTTCTTTTTTATAATGTAACATGAAAATCTTAAGCTATGCCAAAAAACTAAGGATACATGGGTAAGTCCATTTAACATTCAGTAAATGGGTATCTCGGTAATTTAGCGAGATATCGCTAAGCTGAGAACGGTTTCGGCGACTAATTTTTTCTCCAAATTTGGCGACTAATTTTTTTCTCCAAATTTGGCGACTAATAGGTCACCAATCTTGGCAACTATTTGGCCACATTTTGGTCTGGTCCCTGTATCAGAGTAATAAATATTGTAATTGAATAAATGTAATTGGTCACTATATTAACTGCAACTGTAATTAGACCCCCATATTGCCTTCAGTAATTTCGAGAAGCAGAAAGTACAAAAATTATCTCAGCGGCCGGGTGAAAGCTATATAAGGACGCAGAGAGCATTTGCTGTCAGTTGTTGCTGTTAGCTCGGAGTGAGTTCTGAGTATTGAGATATCTCCGGGTAGCTTTCTCTTTAGCTGAGCTTTGCATTGCGTTGTGTTTAACGTTCATAGTAGTTTGAAATGTAACTAATAATTATAATTTGAGATATTATAAAGTGTTGCAAGACTGGTTTTGTGGACAGTTCAAGATATCTGAAGTGTTTCTTTTGATAAAATAAATTTTATTGGCCTATAATGGGAGCTGTGTGCATTCAATATGTTACCAACCCGTACGCACGCAATACTATAGTAAAGACTGGTTAATTAACATAAGTTTCTCTACAATTTGGATCCAGTTCAGTCTTATTTGAGACTTTTTGCCTTTTAGACCGTTTATGAGCTCTTTTATTGCACAGATACTTCAAGGACCGGGAAAATATTATTATACGGAATGAAAGAAAAAGGACATGAAACTTACATTTAGGTAATTCATCAGTGCTTCCGCGGGATCTAGGATTAAATAAGATGCTAAGGCAAATTCTGCACAAACAATGCAAACATATATTTCTGAAAAAAAAATAATAACAATATTTAGAGAATCAAACATTTAATATTGATTTTAATATAATAATTTTTGAAAAAGTTCGAGTTTGTCTGTGCAGAACAGTAATGTTACTTGTTAAATGTTTCGTGTTATAAAATAAATTTACAAGCTCAGTAACTATGCAGCTAAGATTTGAAAATACTAAATTAATAAATTACACGATTAAAAATTTACTTTCATTTTATCACATTTAGGATGAATGTGTCTTGAAATTTTTAGAAACACAATGCATGTTTTCGTAATGTTTAAGCAATTAAATTGCTGCATTACATTATATAAAATTACCAATAAAATGCGACGTTCTTATTGTAATTACTCTTTATTGAATATGTGCAATGAGAACTCTATGATAACCCATTTTCTTTGATAGTAATTAATTGTTTTGATTAAGTGTCAAAACTATGACGAACTTTTTCGCTTTAATATTCAAAATTGATGCTTAATCAGAAATAGGAATAAAAATCATGTACTGTCACATCATGATTTTCGTAGACTCGCACATGTTTCGCAGAATAGCTTTATGTGTATATTTATAGAAGTAATGCAGTATTTTAAAGAAAGTATGTCTACTTGCTGGAATGGAACAAACCAATATTTAGAGAATTATCAATTCAATAACTCAGGAAATTATTGTTGCGAAAAGTCCAACTACGGTGAGATAGCTTCTCCTCAAAGCGGGGTTAGGACTGCCAGAAAGTAACAGAAAAACGAAGGGTTGCCACATTTGGCCCGAAATCCTCCATGTGGCGATATTTGGTGACAAAATTAGCGATATGCCATAGACGGAGCGAGAAAATTCTAGAACGTATTTCTAGCGGTTTTTCTCGGGAATATTATCGAAGGTAGGTTAAAGCCATATATACCCTGCCTGTACGCGGAGTAGTATAGTAGTAGTGTCTTAAGTTTAAAGATTAGTTTGAGAGCTATCGACCGAGTAGGGAGCTATATCTTACTGTCTTGCCGTGAAGCTGTCTTCACCTTTATAGCCTGAAGGCTGTATTGCTGATTGTTATAGCCTTTGTCGTAGTTTTTCGACGAGTGTAAATGTGTTTTCGGAACTGTCCTGTGTACCAGTGTTTGTTGGTGAATAAATTGGGTTTTGATTTTCGTCGAGTGTTGCCATCAATTACTCCAACTCCACGATCACGTAGAACGCAACATTATATTTATAGATATTCAAATGAAGCAGCTTAATATGAGCACTACACGGATATGGAGGGATGCCTCGAGGAGACGTTTTAAGGGAAATTGACTAGTATCCACGCTGTACACAGGTAAAACCATGAAAACGACCATGCAGCCAGTCCCTTCGCCTGGACTCGTACCCCAGACAGAACTACCAGTATTCAGTAGCTTTTGCGGTTCAACCGCTAGAGGGCCTAGTGTAACAGCTTCTCTACATATTCCAGGTGCTCCAGTGTGCCCATGCTTTCTATTTAACTTCCCTTTTCTTTTTCACGGCCTTCCAAAACCTTCATTTGGCAAAATCGTATAGCTTACAAAGTTCTTATGCTTCGCCATCGCATTTCTGTGCTTCCTTCACTTATATTTTCAAAATTTGAAGTTCCATAAATGATTCAGCGAGACCTGTAATTTTTGTCTCTTCATTAGCAAAACTTTTTATTTTACGATATTGCATATCACTTTCTTTTCCATCCGATCATAATAAAGAGATACACTACATGAAAAAATGTCGTAAATTTTTCTCCTCCTTCATGCACTAATCTGAGAGTGTTCTTGAAGGATGATGCATTGCTATTTCTCAAAATAGATAATCTCCAGTACAGCGTATAAATTAAATGCTAGTTTTTACTTAAAACTGAAATCATAGCAGATTATTATTGCTATTGAAAAATAAAAAAATATCAGCTCTAAGAAATTAAGATGACCATGAAAAAGCATTTTAGAATGTTGCAAGAAGAAAATATGAAGAAAGTAGAAGTTAATATTTAATAAACTAAAATTTTTTTAAATTTCATAATTTCTGAAAGATACTGAACTCATTTCATTCAAATTAGTGTTTTCATAGATGCATCTTCCTTCATTTTTTCCTGCAACGCTACTATTCCTCTTCTCTTCAAACCAGTTTCTATCGCCCAAGAAAAATTACATTAAGATTAACGTTGTTTGAATAGTATATTTCATAAATACTATATATTTCATAAAGGAAGCTGCATTTACTAAGTATAATGTTAGAATTCATAATTAAGAGGTAACGCAGATGACAATTAATTATTCAGTTACTCATTTCTGTTCAGTGGTGTTTCAGTAATAATTTCTGAACTCATAGTTTTTAAAAATGAATAAAATATAAATAATAATAATAATAATAATAATAATAATAATCCTTTAATAAAAAGAATGGAAAAACTGCTGTTAGTGGAAGTGAAGAAAATTAAATATGAAGAGTAATTATTTAACTAATAATTACTCTTCATATTTAATTGTGTGTTGGAATAAAAATTAACTCATTCAATTCTCCAAACCTTCTTGGTAATAAATATTTCCTTTCAGGTATAAGCATTATAAGCATGCAGAAAAGCAATAAATTTAAGCATGCAGATTTAATCTTATTATAATCCGAGCACGATTTTCAGGGTTTTTTTTTTAATTATTTTCTTATCCGATTAGGATAAGAACATATCGCAAGCTTATGGAAGAGTTTTGTTGTTTGCTTTATACAAAAAGAAATAACCATGTTATAGATCTAAAATGAACGTACGGTTTGAAAAAAAGTGCCTTTTATAAGGTGCTCCTGTGACAAATATGATAGAAGCAGCAATGTAAGACATCATATTCATTTTCAGTATTGTAGTTCCAGAATCTGATGGATCCGAAACAAGGGCATTTTCTTTATCGAATTTGAATGGTTCGTACCTATTAAAGAAGGAGAAAAAATAAACAAAATATTAAAATTAATCCATAAAGAAAGGCATTTAAAGTAATATGGTTTTATCATTTACACAGGGTATTCGAAACAGGCAATGTCAGATTTAATATTTCATGAAATGCTGATAATATGCATGCTCTCTCAGTTAAAAACTATCTCAAAATAAGTTAGAGAATTTTTCTAATTATTAAAACTAGTAAAATACTGCTTTAAAACGTTAAATACTAAATGTTCCATACTTTTAACTATCAAATTCAAGGAGATAATATTAATAGAATTTATTAATTTGTAGCATTTTTTAACGGCAATTAGCGAGTTATTATATGCAGGTTTTAACCAGATTTAGGTAGACTTTATAAAACGAACGTTACTTGTTTTAGAGAGTGATGATTCCGTGCTGGGTAAACAGCACTAATTATTAAATGTTTAGCTGTCTCAATGGAACTAAACATTATGCATATCGCCACGAAATTTGCACATAAAACTATGGAATGTATTGTATTTAACTTGTTAACATTCTGAATATTATAATAATTGGAATTTTTACACTGTGCGAATTGATGGAATATCACCTTTAATTCCATTCTCAACGCGAACTGGCCAGCTCACTCAAAGGTAATTGCATTTGCAGACGATGCAACCTTTGTAGTTAGTGGCAGAAGCAGAGACATTATAGCAAATAATTGTAATGAAGTTATCTCAATGTTTGACAATCTGTGCCGGGAAAAGAAGTTAAAAATTTCTGAGACCAAGTCCAAATACATGATATTTCATAAGCCGGGGCGAACAATCACACGAAATCCTTGTATCTCTATGCAGGGGAGGAAAATCAAATGTGTTAAAGAACTAACGCTCCTTGGCATCACGTTGGATGAGGCTTTCACTTGGATATCCCACCTACGGGCGCAACGTGAGAAAGCGCACCGCATTGCAAACAGCCTCAAAAGAATGCAGGGATCAAAATGGGGGTTACGCCCTTACATCTTAAAAATTCTCTATTCTACAGCTGTAGAGAAGATAATTACTTATGGAGCGGCGATCTGGGCCTGCCCGATGACGATAAGAAAAGCCAAAGTGCTAAACAGCATTCAGAGACCTTTCGTTCCTGCTATAACTAGGGCGTACCGAACGACTTCAACAGCAGCCGCATCAGTCCTAGCAGAGCTAATACCACTGCCAATTAAAGCGATGCAGGAGGCTGCAATTGATTCAGTTTTCCAACTGCAAATGTGTAAGACTTTCGGGGACGCCACTTATGACGCCTCTGAATATGAGTTCAAGAGTTCTCAGCTGGATACGCACCCGTCCCTTTACGGGAACGGAGACTTCACGTACCACGACCCAACTCTCGCACCAAACACACACGGCCCAGGAGTTATCATATTTACAGACGGGTCCAAATTAGATGGAGATGTGGGGTGCGCTTTTGTAGCATATAATAAAGGAGATGTACTAGCAACCTGGAAAGGGCATATGAACCCTGGAAACACAGTGTTCCAGGCGGAAGTTCTGGCACTGCATAAGGCAATAGATTGGCTAATAACATCCCACCAACGGTACGCAACAATCTTCAGTGACAGCCTCTCAGCAATTCATGCAATTAAAAACCCACGACATTCAGCGCTTCTTATTACGGAGGAGCAAAAAACGCTAAGAGAGAACACCCCCACTTCAAAGATCCGCATATCCTGGGTAAGGGCACACGCTGGAACCGAGGGTAATGAGAAAGCAGACGAATTGGCGAAGGAGGCAGCCCAAAATCAAAACTTTTTCTAAGTTTCGATTTTGCTGCCGAAATCGCACCTAAAACGCAAAGCGCGGTTAACGGCCCTAAGCCTGTGGCAGGAGGAATGGGATACAATCCAACAAGGCCGGAGAACCCATGACTTTATAGATAGAGTGACGACAGATCGGGTAATCTCCGCACCCTACCTCACGCGCTTCATAACGGGTCATGGACCTTTCCCGTCTTATTTCAAAGACAGAGGCATATCTACCACCAATATGTGTGTCTGCGGCAATGAAGGATCGCCTGATCATTATCTTGCGGAATGCCCTTTAACATTAGTTTCGGTGGACCTGAGGTCCCGTTCAAGCGCTTTCTAATAAAACAACCGGCACTTACAAATAAAATTAAATGTATAATGGATAAGCTCGAAGCGCTTGGACAAGAGCTGTGTCAAGCAGAATGATGTCTAGGAAGCTCCAAGTAGTGAGCTAAGTTATGTGCAGCAAATTATTCGCTTAGTAAATCTATATTTATATGCCTGGTATCACTACATATGTACTGCTTGACGTCCTGTTTTTGTCTTTTTGTACTAATTCACAAAAGTCATGTTTCTGTATGAAATGTTGTATAGGCCATGTATGCTATGACAATATGCTATGCTATGTTCAATCACATTTGTCTATGCTATGCTATGCCCACCTGCTGTACAGGTCATGTTATGCTGTTTATATATATATATTTTGTTTATTATAAAAATGTTTTGTCAATATATATGCCTCTAAGCTATGTTCATATGCAAGGCTATGTTCTGTATGCCATGCTGGCTATATGACGCTGTGTATTTTATGTCGTAAATCTGTGATGTCATGTTATGTCGCATTACTATGTATATTATGTCTATGAGATGCTATGGTATGTCGCTACGCTATACCCATCTTTCATGTAGTTAAGTTATGTTGTGTATTTAATGCTGTAATTATATAATCCTTATTCTATGCTATGTCACATGATGGTGCAATGTTAATGCTGTGTCATGTTATGTCTACGCTAAGCTATGATATGTCATCATGCAATGTCCACCTGTCGCATAGGTCATGCCACACTGCGAATTGTATGTTGTAAATATGTAACCACAATATGTCTTATTTATGCTTAACTATGTTATGTTGCTATACTATATCCACCTGTCATGTGTTTCTCCTTTATGATCTTTTTTCTTATTCTTTACATTTAACAATATTGATAAGTGAATTTTTGCTTGCCTTTCGTGATGTCTATCCACAGGAACGCTTGGAATTCCGTTTCATTTTTATCACACAGAAGCTTTATTTACAGCTATGTACAACAATTGTCTGCTTACATTAGAACATTCATCACGTTTTTTTTTTTGGTTGCCAATACATCTATCTCAAAAATCCGCAATGTGGTAAGAAAAGTATAAGCTAAAAGTAAAAAACGCTGCGCCCTCTCGTGGCCAGCTACATAAACTGTAACATCCTCCCCCTCGATGATTTGGTTCATCAAAGGATTGGATTCTGAAGTTATCTTAAACATTAAATGTTTTTAATGTTCTACAAGTTTAAATGTTCATAGATACAGTGTTCGCAATTTAAGTTCATTGTATTCAGTTCAAAGAGTTCAAGTCATTTTTAATGGGTACAATAACTGCACAGGACGACGAAGATGAGTTCCATTAGCTAAACGGACAGTGCAAGCCCTTATTTTCCCATCTCGTCCTGGATGACACTCCTGTACAAGTCCCATCTTCCATAATAATCTTGGTAATTTTTCTTCATGTACTAGAACTACAGAGCCTTTCAAAAGATCTGTTACGGCATTACCTCTCTGAATTTGTTTTACGTTTCGAATTTCAAGTAAGTATTCTCTTTTCCATCTTTTCCAAAACTCTTCTAATAACCTTAGCCGGTATTTATATCGCCTTGTTAAATTTTCTTTAGTTGAATCAGGTTCAAGAATTTTGCCAGATGGTAAGGATGTCAGTCTTCGTCCAACTAGAAAATGAGCTGGCGTCAGCGGTTCTGGTTCCCCAACTTCACTATAAACATATGTCAGTGGACGCGAATTCAATATCGCCTCAATTTCAATTAAAACTGTTTCCAGCTCTTCAAATTTAAGTGAAGCCTTCATGAGTATTTTCTTCAAACATGACTTGATAGATCTAACAAGCCTTTCCCAAAAACCGCTCCACCAAGCCGCCTTCTCCACATTGAATTTCCACTCAATACCTTTATTACCAAAATAATTTTGAACTTCTGTGTCCTTGATGGTATTCCATAGTTTTTGTAAATCCTTGTCTGCTCTTTTGAAGGTTTTTGCATTGTCTGAATATATTATTCGACATACTCCTCTTCTTGAAATAAATCTTCTAAAGGACAGAAGAAAATTGTTTGCTGTTTGGCTAGACACTAGTTCCAGATGCACTGCTCTGATTACAGCGCATGTATACAGAGCAATATAAACTTTCCCAGTTTCATCCTTTGTACTCATAGGACCAGCAAAATCAAGTCCTACAACTTCGAAGGGATTTGCCTCTGTTATTCTTTCGATTGGTAAAGGAGCGATATCCTGACTTAGTGGCTTAGCTTTAAATCTGACGCAAATCACACACTTGTTAATATTACTCTTTACACGCTGTCGACCCTTAAATATCCAAAATTTTCCCCTAATTTGAGTTTTCAGCTACACCAGCGTGTGCTTGCGTTTCGTGACAATCTTTAATGATATGATCTGTGAAATGAGACTTCTCAGGTAGTATTGCTGGGCCCTAACATAATTGCTGTAAAATGTTTAATGGAACGAAATGAATAGCACTTTGTTAGGATATATTTGGAATCATAAAGCAGATAAACTGAAATTTCGAATTAAGGATGAATTACTCAAGGATCCGGCTGAGGAAATAACAAACGGAAGATTCTTCAAGTTGCGGGCGAACTATACGATCCTATCGGTTTCATATCTCCCTTTGTTGTTGCAGCTAAAATGATGCAATGCGGTAAGAAAAATATTACAAGCTAAAAGTAAAAAACGCTGCGCCCTCTCGTGGCCAGCTACATAAACTGTAACATCCTGTAAGTTACATTACGTTGTGTATTTAATGTTGTAAATATGTTATGTCACTATGCAATGACTGTATTCTATACTATGTCCCGTCGAATGCTATGCCATGTTATGTCTGTGCTGAGCTGTGTTATGTCGCCATGCAATGCTCTCCTGTCGTGTAGGTAATGCAACTCTAGGTACTTTATGTTGTAAACATGTTATGCTATAGATGGAGCGGGTCCCGGACTATACCCGATTAGTCTTTGAAAGCCGTCCGGGTGTCCGGCCCTGCTGTCACCTGTGCGAATTGGAGCAAAATGGTAAAATTTAAGTTCTGTATTTACAGATCTCTTATAACCACAGTTCTGAAAACGTTTATATCGAATCGTTTATATCGAAATATGAAAAGTTTTATATGAAAATGTATAAAATTATATGTTTATATGAAAAGTTTATATCGAAATTTCCCATATTTTTAATATGGAAAACTTTGTAACTAGATGAACATGTGTAGGATTAATATTTAAGAAAATAAAGCCTATAGCTTCCGTTTTCAGGACATTCCTTGTAAATAATTCGTTATAAATCAAAGAGTCTCAGTTTGGTACACTAAAGAATTGAATGTTAATACGTATCATCTTGATGCAATTATTCGCTTCATAATCAATGTATCATCTTGTTGCAATTATTCTCTTCATAATCAAAGATAATATAAAAGAGGTGAATAAATTTTCAGAAATTTTAAAAAACACTACATATGACACAGCTAATGAGTATGATTAATTACAACTAGGCTAATGAAATTTTCCACCAGCAAAAAAAACATCTTGAGCATATCTTAAGACTGTTGCTTAAATACTCAGTGCACATCCCTCAGACTTCCTACAATATCTCCTTAACATCTTCAAAACATTTTTCACAATGCAACATGTCACTCAGCACATTATCGCAGAGACTGAATGGAGATGAGATGTTCTCAGTACATCTCCATTCAATCTCTACGATAAAGCACTTAAAATTTCTTAAAAATCATTACGATTTGAAAGCGATTTTTCATTTGCTTATCATGTCTCAGAGATATTCTCAGAATTTCTTCATGTGTTCCCTACGAAACAGTAATGGTTGTTACAAAGATTTACAAGGCTCTTAACAGTATGTCAGGAATACCCTCAGGATCATATCGTAATGCCCTACTAAGTTAATAAATTACTATACTCACAGAATTCTACGATCTTCGTACTAAAATTACAAACATAAAATTTTGCACCTTATGAGCAATGAAGCACTTGGAAGTACATATCTAAGATCAATAGTTACAATAGTTATTAATACACTTTTAGTGAATACTTAGTATTTTTAACAATAGAACCACAACAAAACATAGCATTGTAATGGTTCTGGGAATTCTTTTCCAGTTATGCAGTCTTACTCAGCGGTTCCCACAAACACTTAAATGTATTTTACAAGGTATTTTTGATTTTTGGTGGCATCATATTTAAAAAAAAACTCTTAATTTTTAGAAAAGTCCATAGAACATTTGGAGGTCAAAATTTACATATTTGGGTCGTTGTCAAGATTACAGTAAGCAAGGTTGTTGACTGTTTCCTCTTTCAGATCATAAATATTCTATTCCATGCAGTTGCACTTTTATAGCATTCTTGACATTTCATTTTCTTGTAAGTCCCTTGATATTACCAGTCACCTAATCTTTAAGATGTTCCCTGTGGTATTTTTAAGATGCACTAACGGCGTTTGCTTTAGCTTAACAACATTTTTTCGACTTAACATATGTACATAAAGCAATTAAAAATATTCTGATATAACCTCTGCACTTGCTTCACACAGAATAAAAGATGTGAATATGTCTCACGATGTTATTTCTGCATCTATTTCCATGAATTGCCGTCAGGCTTGATGCAGAACCCGATAGATGTTAAATTAAGAATCGTTAAAAATTCAGAAGTTTGGTTCCGCTCGCAAGGCAGCTACGTCCACTGGAAAGGCAGAGTTATTAAGGTTGAGCTTCTGGCCCATGTGCTTATCATGTTCGGGCTATTCAAAATGCACTATCCACTTCATGGTTTCACCTCATCTTTAAAACTATTAGGCTGCCCGTTAGGTTATTATATCAAACTTTGTCAAGTGGCAGGGAAATACTTTCTTCATATACTGTACGTATAAATTATAAATTCAACTCTAGAGAAAAAAATTTTCACTTTGAGACTGAGGGTACACAGAATTCATGATGGAGGGTATATGGTTGTGTTTTCTGTCTGGGCCATTGCATGTTAAGGAAGTATAGCTCTAAGACGTTCAGGGCAGTAGTATGGCATCCTTGGCAGGTACTTAAGAAGAAGGACCATTGTGCAAATTTAAGGCGGTTCTACGTATGAGGTGAGATGCTTGTTCTTCGTATTTAGGCATTTATGCAACACTATATTTTCTGCTACCATTTGGTATGAGATCCTAAGCATCCGCGAGGACAACGCAATAGCAAACTGCTATTGTTCTATATATACTGTCAGTACGTTTATGCATATTTTCTTTAATATGTTTGAGGTTACTAATTCAAGCATTAATCTACTATGACATTCAGATATTTGATTTGTCGTAGGATTTTAATACTTTTAGCATACATGAACCCCCTATTTGTCGCTTACCTGGAATTAAAATCTTGGCCTGTATTTTAGCTACAGAGTTACTAGCTTTTGTTCCAACGATTAGTTTGTGCATTTTGATAACATTATTTTACACTTTTTTTACTTAAAATTAGTAAAAAAAAAAACAACCGTATATTTTGCGTAGGTTTAGCCAAAAAACTCAATTGATTTCGAGGGCAAACAGGTTTCTCTTCATAACGGGCAAATAAATATGCAAGACTGGAAAGTAGCGGGCGTAACGGACATATTTATACCCTACTGCAGTGAAACGAACGAGAAGGTAATTGTATTCCATTATACAAGTGCAAGCGCTGAATTCGTTACTATGTATAGTATACTATATACATATCCTCTGCTATGTATATAGGACTAAAAAAACTTTTTTTTTCACAAAAGGTGATTGTCGCGCTCGATATGCTAGTCTTCTAACATGGTGTGTCCACGTATTCCGCTAATAACACATATGAAGATATCTGTAGTGATGATGATAACTAATTGTTATTAATATGTACCCTACATTATTTAATAAGTATTCGATTTTTCTTTTTAAAAATTTTATTATGAAATAAATGTGTAAAATATATTATATTTATTATACAGTAAAATGGGTATTTTTTTTATCTGAAATGCCTTAAAACACTTATACATAACGCACCCTTACGAAGGGCCTACTTTTTATTTGAAACATTTTAAAACCTTGTACACAGAACTTTCAATCTTCGCGTGCATTCTGAAAAATAATATATCATTAATAATAATCTGTAAAATTACTTTCTAAGATGCAGTATATTTGACACATGAATTTTGATGTGCGGATCAAATATGGCTTTTAGTTCCTTAATTAGGAATTCTTTTAAAGATTTCATATCCCTCATGGCTTTTTAAATGCAATGTGAAAAGAGTTCAGTGTTGCTTGCACAGATGTAATACCCCGCATCCGAGCTCATATATGCATGCATATATTTTTTATATACTTGTGAATTGCTATAGACGAGAAACCGATGTGTGTCAGGTGCAAATCGGACCATGCAGCATCATTTAAGAGTTGTGAATTTCATTCCAGAGTTTATGAAAGGAACTCAAGGGGAATGTTCCAAAGTTGACACATTTCTTCACCAGCAATACTACTGTATAAAAATTCACCTCAGGAAAGAACTCGCCCAGCTCATGCGCACAATGCTTCTACCCAACAATCTGTGATGGACTTATTTTCTGATAAAAGTCCCAGTGATCGCCTGTCTAAAGTGTTAGAAAATGCTGACAGGTGCAAAAAGATGAACTCGCCACTTACAAAATTGAAATTAGCACTCTCACTTGTTAAACTTTTTGAAACAGAAGAAATTTAAATTTACAGTCAACGGAAGATGAAGCGATTTGAACCATCACGCAACTTTCCATTTCGCCATGGCAGATTAAGGATGATTCGGCAGAGGGGAAATGCTTATTAGTCAAGTAATGATCCCACTGCCTCGACAGAAGCTGGATGTATCATCGCAGTTTAGTGATCTTTAGGACCAACAGACGGCGAAAGACCAGAAGCTTAGCTTCTCTCAAGAGGCAAAGTACCGCTCCTCTTTCAGCTCCATCTCAATCGGTGACCATAAAACTTTGGATTTTTCACAGGTCAGGCTCTATATGGGATCTCTTTCAGGCTCTGCAGCAGCGGAAATTTTCCCCGTTGTGTACCAGAAAAAAACAATAAAATATTATACGTTTTAATAAGAAGTCTTTTCTAAAAATTATTGTCACGAATTTTGCTACACCTTAAAAATAAAAATGTAACTTCCAGATGCAAAATGTAATTAAATATATTATTAATAACATCATTAGTGATTTTCAGCTCTATACATAATAACATAGCATTTGGCTATGAAAGATGCATCAGTGCTGCGTCTATTTATATCATGTTTATAAAGGAAAAACCAAATAACAATTTATGAGCTTAATTCGTGATCTTAATTGCCCTGAAGATATATCGTAGCTAAGATCAGATAAGCTCTAGTAATACTTACCAAGATTGCGAAAGGCAGTACTGGTAAGCTATCAAATGGATTGCTGTTTGAAGTGCGATGAATGAAAAAATCGAAAATAACGGAACGATGCTGACAAGACTTCTGGTTGGAGGCCTTTTTGCCAGCCTTGGAAAAGCCCAAGTTGCACCAACTTAAAAAAAAAAGAAAAAAGATTATACATATTATTAAATCAAAGCATGTGGAATGAAGTTTCAGGTAACTTTGTGGCTGGTTTATTTACATAGCAATGCTAGTTAATAAAGTCGCCAGAATTTCTGATTTGATGATAAACAATAAATAAAAATAACTTTCTTCTTTTATATTTTCCAGCGGCCGAGCGGTAAAGTCGCTGAACACTGGTAGTTCGGTCCGAGGTTCGAATCCCGCGAATGGGCTGGCTGCATGGGCGTTTTCGTGGTTTTCCCCATGTGTAACGTGTATACGAGCCAGTTTCCCTTAGAAAGTCCTCCACGAAGGCATCCCTCCTCTTAGGCAGATAGCCCTCGAGGCTTTGCCGTATTCACACACACACACACTTCTTTTATATTTTCCGTTAGCTTTACATTTTCTGATTTTTTGCTGGGAATAAAGATCATGAAAAAAATAGCTAAAAGTCATTTATCTTTCGAATTTATTTTTCAGAGTTTTAAAGTTTTTATTTGACGCTCTAAAATCAGATTTATGAGCTTGTTTAGTTTTTATAAGCTTCACTTTGGCTGTTGAAGAAGTAGAAGAATATTTTATCAAAAAGTACGTGTTACATTTAAGAAAAACTTCTTATGAATCCAGTAGTACAAGAAGAGCAAAAGGGAAGGAAATCATCTTCGGTGTTCTCATTTGACGAAATTACATTTGTTAAATCCCTTTGAAGAGAGATGGTGCTTCCATTGTTACTGTTTTAAAAGGAATGTTATTACTTTTTTGGAATTGTTTCAATGGCGAAGCAGAGCGAGTGTGGTTCCCTGGGTGTCTTCCATAAATGAGTAAAATAAAGATAATGAGATATTATAGTTTGTTAATTAGTTTAATTAAGAGTTAAAGTCCGCACAAAATTAGTCGGACCATTTTGAGTGGTTCTGTAGAGCCGCAGCGACATCGGCTAAGTAAATAAGTTAGTGTAAAACAGTGAGTTTACCATTTTGTTTCTGAAGAATTTGTGTTTGTGGATTATAGCCAGATACTGAAGAAAGAAGTAAGTAACCCTTGAAACTCTTTTCATTACTAACTGTTGCGTTTAGTAAATTCTGACTTAAGTTTGTGTGGTCATTTTTTATTTTTGATAAGTGTAGCGAAAATGACTACGAAATTGAAAGTTTTTCTCACTAAAAAGGAGAATTCAGAAAACTATCTTATCGAAGTTGTAAAAGAAACTTTCTGAACCAGAATCAAGTGTTAGTGATTTAGACTTGTTAAAAACTAAATTTAACAATTTGCAAAATGAATTTGATAATACTTTTGATTCCATTAAGTGCTGAAGAAAATATCGAAAACATATTCAGTGAGCAAGATGAAATCAATAGTAGTATTATTGATATAGAATTTGAAATATATAACAGATTGTCGAAAGCTGTTAAAGAGAATAATGTGAAAATGCAGTAATTTCTGAAAATTCTGTTGTGCGTTTACCTAAGGTTTCTTTACTCGCATTTTCAGGAGAAATGCATTCTTGGCTTTTCTTTAAAGATATTTTTAAAGCGAGTATTGATCAAAACCCTAATTTCTCAGATGCTGTAAAATTGCAATATTTGAAATCAGCACTGAAAAGAGATGCCTTTAGAATAATCCAAACGATAGCTATAATGGATAATAATTATAATATTTATAAGTTAGCATGCTCTCTCCTTGAAGAAAGATACTCAAACCCTAGAGAACAAGTGTATGCTCATCTCAAAAGATTTATGAGTATTCCCGTTATTCAAAACGAGTCAGCTTCTGAGATTCTAAACTTAGTTGATGTTACAAGTGAAGTTGTAAGATCGTTAGAATGTGTAAAGTTACATGGCATTTCATCCATTATATTTGCCTTTATTCTTAGCCAGAAACTTGATCAGAATACTAAGTTATGGTGGGAAAGGAATTTAAGGAAAGAAATAATACCGAACATCACAGATCTATTAGAATTTCTAAAAGATCACATGAAAACATTAAACGTTTCCAGAATTCCAGTAATGCCTAAACGAAGTCAACCAAAGCAGTGGTTTCAGGTATGACTGAGAAACATGCATTTATTTGTAAACTGTGTAATGCGGAACATAAATTATTTAAATGTCCTAAATTAAAAAAATTCAGCTGTTATGAGCGAGAAAAAGTTTCGATTCCCCAAAATAAAACAGTTGTGAATCGCGTCTCCGTCGGATCAAAAGTCAGAGGCGAGTCAGTCTACGGAAAATACGAGATTCAATGTTCGCGACGAGCCATTCATAAGTAAGGATAACGAGTGTTTTATGACAGCTACTAATGTAAATAAAACTTTTAATGCAGGTAATAGAGTCCTACTATCGACAGCAATTGTTTATATTAAGGGAAATGAAGGTAGAAATATTTCCAGCCAAGAACTTTGCTTGACAGTAAAAGTAAGACCCATCTTTGTTCATCGGAATTAGCTGAAAAGCTTCATTTGCAAAAGGAAAATGTAAACATATTAGTAGGATGTTTATCTGGGATTTCAACAACGGTGAAATCAAAAATGAGTGCGGTTATTTTAAATAGAGAAAACACGTACAGTCTTAAACCAGATATTTTCGTTTCCGAAAATTACTCATTTGATGCCTTCTAGACAAATTGATGTCCGTAATATTGCGATTCAACTAGGAGTTACGTTAGCTGATCCAGACATTCACAAACCGGGTAAAATTCAGTTACTTCTTGGATCTAAAATATTTTTCGATTTGATAAAATCTGATCAAATTTATGTACCCAATACACATTTAGTATTAAAAAAAACTCAGCATTTGAATATTTGGTGGGTGGAAGCATTGAAGATTTACCACATGAGAAACAATTAATGCATTGTGGGTTAATTTATGACAATGCCGAGACACAGCTGAAGAAGCTTTCTGATTTGGAATCAATTAGTATTAGAGATGATCCCAATTCGTACAATGAAGATAAAGCATTAGAGATATTTAATAAAACTATTAGTTTCAAAGATGGTATGTTTTTAGCCTGCCTTGGAAAAAGATTTGGGAACATTTAGGCGACAATTTTGGCGTCGCAGAAAAAGAATAAAGATTCTGATGAGAAAAATGCAGCATGGTAATGCAATATACTTGAAATACATAGAAACTTTAGAATAGTACCTATATCAAGGGATAAGAGAAAGAGTATTAGATTCTACGAAACCCTTAAACAAGCCAGCTTTTTATATGCCTCATCAGGCAGTTTATAGAAAAGAAAGCATTACGACTAGAAATGCGTATAGTACCTGATGCGAGCTCACATGAAATACGTAGTATGTCCCTAAATTATTGTTTGAGGCCTAGTATTAATTTGAATCAAAATATATTTCACTTGCTGATGTATTTTAGACTTGATAGAGCTGCAATCTTAGGAGATATCGAAAAGGCATTTTCACAGATTATTTTAGCTGAGAAAGATTGAGATTTTTATTTGTTAAGAATATTGCTATACCTTTCCAGAATACCGAGGAACAGTTAGAGGTGTATAGATTTAAAAGTGTACTCTTTGGTGTTAATTCCAGTCCCTATCTGTTGGCGGAAACTATAAAGCTGCATATTAAAAAGTACAGAAATGTGTATCCTAGTACCTTTCAAATTTTTGGTACATGTATGCATGCTCATGATCTTGTTACAAGAGCAAATGATGTATCAGAAGCCTTAAAAATTTCAATGGAAGCAAAGGAAATTATGCGTGGAGCTGGGATGAATCTACGCAAGTGGGTGACGAATGATAACCGTTTAGTTAAAAAATCTGATGTGTGCACCACATGACTTCCTTGTACAGAATATTAAATTATACGCATTTTTCTTGCATTTTATTTAAACTTATTAGATTGAATTAAATTTACTTCGTCGATAGCGCATAAACCACAATAGAATAAAATACACTCTTTAAACTTTATTGTATTTGTTTACCATAACGATACTCTTGCCCTAGGTTCACTTAGCAGCGTTATATTTTATTCATTTTTTTAACTCAGAATGCATAAAATTTATATCATCTTAAGAATTATCTAATCGTTGCCACATGTTCTATTCAAATACCATAATAAATCCGAAACGATGTATAAAAGAAATTAAACAAAGAACAACAACAACAACAACAAAAATAAATAAATAGATAAATAAATCTGAAAGGTTTCAGATTTTAAATTACGTCCAAAATGGCGTTTTTTTAACGTTTTGTGTGTTACACGCGATTCCAGAGCCAATGATAATAGACGTAAATAAAAATCGATTAAGCTGGTATCAGAGAACACAAAAAAGTAGTTCAATTTATTTGGAAAAAATGGTCGAATGACTATTTAGGTACTCTGCAGCAGAAAAACAAGTGGATGGTAGAGAATGACAATATTTCTGTTGGTACTACGGTACTCGTCAAGGAGGACTATCTGCCAATTTGCAAATGAATTTTAGGTCAGGTTATTAAAGTCTATCATGGATCTGACAATAAAGTAAGAACTGTTAAAATCAAGACAAAATTAAGAGAATTAAAAAGAGCGATCACAAAGATCGCCTTGCTTCCTATAGAAAACTGAACTGCTATTTTTGCATATGTAAAAGAAAAATTGTAGTTTGTTTTAGTATTGTATATCTGCCAACCTCTAAAGATAAAAATTCAGAAGATTTCTCCAAAATTCAGAAGAACACGAAGAATTAATATCATGCTTTGATATTAAAAAAATAACAATTTATACAAATAGAAAAAAGAAAATTGTACTTACATTAGTAAATCTCAATTAAGTAGTAACTAAAAATTTTATTAGGAAACATAAAACAAGAACTTAATGTTAGACAAAAAAATTATTGCAATGAATTTAGAGTGCATTTTTTGGCTTTAGCCAAAAATTCTTTGGAAAATTTCCTGTCATAACAATTAGTTTCCTCATAACATTTAGCAATTAAAATGTTTTCTAGAGTTTTTGGTGAAATTGAAGAACGAAACATAGTTTTGTTTTTTTTTTACAACACT